GAGGCCCTGGGGCGCCCGCTGAGAGCCCGGTAGAGCCTGTCCGCGGCCTTGCGGGCCTGCCCCTGGGCCCCTCGTCCAGCCGCCGCCTAGAGCCAGGGCGCAGCCATCAGCGCTCCCAGCCGGCTGCCGGCGTGTGTCTGTCTTGGGGCCGGGGCCCTTTTGGGTTTAAGGTTAGGCTGGACTCCAGTTTGACTCTGCATTTTTAGCTGTTTGAAATTGAAATCTTGACACAGCTTGGGTGAGTTAATGGTGGGTACCCTGTCCCCACCCAGAGTGACCCTCGGGCGTGCAGCATGTGGTAAGTGAGGCACAGGGAAAAGCCCAGCGGGAGAGTCACTGCCGGGCCGCCCCCGGGAGGGGCCCTGGACGCGGGTCCTGCGGGCGGCAGGTTGGCTTCTCCAGGGTTCTTCCTGAGGGTTCTGGCCCAGCGCTTTCCCGGAGTTATTTATGCTGTTGAGGTCTGCGTTTGGGGGTGGAGAATGGGTCCCCGTGACCAGATTCTTCAGGGCTTTGTGACAAAAGGCAGAGGGAGGCCAGGCCCTGAACACCTGTGCCGGGCTGCTTCCCCCTGGAGACCACCGTCCATCCGGGCAGCGCACCTGCTAGCCAGCCGTGTGCGCATCCTTCGCTTCTCACCCACTCAGTGTCCAGTGCACTGCGGTCATTGCGAAACTCTGAATTCCTTTCTCTTGGTAGCTGTGTGTCCAGTTACCAAGATTAGAATGTAATTCAGCTATAAAATATTTCAAGCAAACAGAAAAGCACCGAGAACACAAACCATTTGGGTCATCTCCAAGCTGCCGCACACATTGGACCCATTTTGCCTCACATATTTTGTTAAAGAATGAGCAGATGTGGCCAGAGTCTGTCCTGCAGGTCAGCGGGACCGGCCTCTCCGCCGACTTCCGTCTCCTCTCCGCGCTTGTGGTCAGTGTCGGGAGTACCGGTGCGCCTCTGAGCAGGCCCCGCGAGCCTGCCCGGGCCTTCAGAGAGGCTGTCACATCCGCCGGCTGTTGTGGCCCTCCTTATATCTGGAGCCATCAGGAGCTACTGTCACTTGAAGTTGTAGGTGAAGACACAGGCAGAGGTGGACTCATGGCCCGAGTCCAGCAGCTTCCTGTGGCGGGGCCCGGCGTGGGCTGGCACAGGCCGTGCGCCTCGCCCCTGTTGGGCTGCTTGCATTTCGGTTGCCCAGCCGCGGCGACGCTGTGGGCAGGGGCAGTGCAGGCGGAGCTGAGGGCCAAACGTACGTGTGTGGTGGCCACGGAGTGGAAGGTGGTGCCCCGAGAGGGTCGCCGTGCCCAGGGGCTGGATCCCATGCCGGACAGGCTGGGCAGCACGATGCGCCTTAATCCGAGTTGGTTTCTGGAAACTTGGCCTTACAGGCAGGTGTTTGCAAGGGAACTGTCCTCAGAAAGCCCTGGAGGAGTGCCCGTGAGGTGTGGGGCGGGGGCTCCATTCAGTGGGTGGGGAGAGCTGGTGGCCAGGTGGGCGGGCCTGTGGAGGCTGAGGGGAGGGGTGTCTGTCAGATGGCCCGTTGATAAGCAGGGTGCAGCCACAAGCTGAGCCCAGTCAGCACGGCAGGCAGTGGCCTGAAGTGGAACCAGGGCGCGATGGGAGCCGTGTGGGGTGCGGTGACCAGGTCAGTGTTCACCGGGTGGTGCTCTGGGGGCCGCCGGCCAGCCTTATCACTGGCAGGCACAGTGCCCAGTGCTGCACGTCGGAAAAATCCGTGTCTCTGGCACGGACTTCCGTGTGGTGGTAGCTTTTGATGAGCTACAGACCACCCCGATCAGAGGACGTGGGCTCGGGGCTGGGTGCAGGCGGTGCGGACGGCGCCACCGGCCAGGCCTGGACGTCTCTTAGCTGTGCTTCCTCAGGTCAGGTTTACGTGGTGCACGTTTTGACTGGGAAGGCCAGCGCAACTCCGAGTGACTGCTGTCGCTTAGCTGACAGCCTTCTAGGAGAGCTGGCCTCCCGCCGGGTCAGGGTTTGGTTCGTGGCGCTCGGCCCCCGCCAAGGGGCCGTGACCAGGTGGTCAGTGCTGGGGCTGGCGTGGGAGGGCCAGGCCTGCCTGTCCCGTGGCTTCACAGGAGGCAGGGCCCTGCCTTGCACGCCTCTGCTTGAGTCCCACCTGCTGCTGGCTCAGCATAAGGAAAGGATGGAGACAGCCCACCTCCAGGGTCATTCTGTAACTCCCACACTTGGTCACTCTTGACTGCAGCCCAGGAGAGTTCAGTGCTGCCATTCCGCAGGTCTGGCCAGGATGCCCACCCAGGCCCATCTGAAGACCCCCCACCCGCGTGTCTGTGGAGGCCGTCGGGCGGACGCCCAGGTAGTGGCCAGACCCCGCGCCTCCTGCGAGCCGGGCGGCCCCCCGCCCCTCCCAGGCAGTGCTGCTGGGCCTTGGTGGGCTCACTGAACAAATACGTAACGGCCAGTGCCTGTGCCCGCTGCGTCCGCCCCGCAGCGCCCAGGGTGAGCAGGCGGCGGGGAGCACTGCTTCGTGCGGCGGGGAGCACTGCTTCGTGCGCCTGCGCCTCCAGAGCGCGAGTTCCCAAGAGCAGTGGCAGCACACGCGGGGAAAGGTAATCGCGCAAAGAAAGACCAGCACACTCGTGCCGCTGTGTGTTGTGTTTGCAGACGCGTCATTGGCGCCGCGTTCACACACGTCTGCTGCGCCCTGCTGCCACACCGGTGTGATGTCACATGACAGACGACAGCGGGAGGGGTCTGCAGGACCTGGGCCCACGTTTCTGGGGTCGTGACCTGGGTCCAGACACGACCTGAGCTCAGCCTGGCTTCCTGCCTGTAGGAGGCCGCAGCCAGCCGCGCCCCCAGGCAGTGGCTGCCCCGAGGGGGGACGGGGAGACAGCAGAGGGCAGAGCCTGAATGGGGGAGACAGGAGACAGCGGGGGGCAGAGCCTGAATGGGGGAGACGGGAGA